CTGGAAAAATTAGTAATACGCCAACTAACAGAATTTTTAGATGCAGAGAATCTGCTTCCCAAACTGCAATCAGGGTTCAGAAAGAACCATAGCACCTGTACTGCATTGATGAATATGTTTGCAGACTTGTTTGGGGCGAGGAGCGGGGGCAGGTGTAGCTCTGTAGTCATGCTTGATTTTTCACAGGCCTTTGATTCCATAAGCCATGGTTTGCTCCTAGCAGAATTGAAACATTTTGGTTTTCATTGCAATGCGGTTGCTTGGTTTAGATCTTACCTGGAAAACAGACTGCAAGTTACCAGGGTGGGTACCGATATCTCACCTCCCCTAGAGAAATCAAGGGGAGTGCCTCAGGGGAGCTGTCTGGGGCCCATTTTGTTTACCCTGTACACTGCAGATCTGTCCAGATGTGTGAGTCACTGCAATGTGCATTCATATGCCGATGACTGCCAATTGCATTTCTCCTATGAGATTCAGGCTGCTGATCAAGCTTTTGCAGGAGTGAACTCTAATCTGGTGAGAATAAGTGAGTGGTCACGCAAACATGGTTTGAAATTGAACTCTGAAAAATGCATGATTCTTCATATTGCTACACCCCCTACTCTTCACAGAGTTGCAAATGGAGACATGCACGTTCAAATCGCAGGAAAACCTCTAATGGTGAGGGATACCGTCAAGACCTTGGGTGTGGTACTTGACAGTGGCCTCACTTTCTCGGACCACATCACTTATGTTTCCCAGGTGGCTTTGGGAAGGCTGCGTGGTCTGTACCGGTACAAAAACATTCTGCCAGAGACAGCCAAGCTGCAGCTGGTACAGTCACTAGTGTTGTCAGTGCTCCATTACTGTTTTCCTGCATACGGCAACAGCATCTCAAGGGAAGAGATGTCCCGATTGCAAAAAGTGCAGAACTCCGCCATTCGTTTCGTTTACGGTATCCGTAAGCGTGAACGCGTATCCCCTTTTCGGGATGCTGCGGGGTTGCTGTCAATGGGTGCCGTGTGCAGGGCGCAGACTTGTAGCCTCATCCACCGGGTCTTGGTTCAGCAAGAGCCTAAGTACTTGGTGGAGAGGCTTGTGGCACGTGGGGAGGTGACTCAACGTGTGACCCGGCAGAACGCCTTGCTCCACATTCCAAAAGTAAGACTAGAAGTGGGTAGAAAAGGGTTTTCTTACTTTGGCCCAAAGATATATAATGATCTCCCCTTGGACCTAAAACAGCTGGGGGTCCTGGCTTTCAAAAGAAAAGTAAAGAAGATGTAAAGTATTGTATATAGCTTATAATTTTGTTTTGTTTTGTTTTGTCATACACATTGTTTTTGTATCATAATTTTTGTATATTTTTAAGTTAGTTATATTGACATGAGTCACTTTGTAAAACAGTTCTTGTACTGAAAGACGCTCGCAAATAAAGGCATTTTTATTTATTTATATTTTTATTATTTCTAGCAATACAATAACCGGCAATCGCTTAGTACGATTACGTAAAGTAACGTTCACAAAAGCCTTACCCATGACTTCTAGTCTATTTTTCCCATAGCCAGTGATCAGACGTCTTTTTGAGAGATTCGCCACTTGAATTTATCTTATCTCAAAGAGACAAACTTATAGCACTTACCCGAGACCGGAATCAAACTCCATTCTAACATTATACCCGTTAAATTCTACATCTCTTGTAGCTCTGGAAACCTTACTCTTGACTGACCTAATTTGTGTTCCGCTAACATCAATATCAGAACTAGACTCATCGTCGTAGTTTTGATCACAAGAATCATCTACTTTTCTCAAATTACCACCTGTTCTCTTGAGAAAATTATTTTTACTTTTGCACATTCTTGCAAAGTGGCCTCTCTTTGAACATTTCTTGCACACAGCAGAAATAGCAAGACACCTATCTTCACTAGGGTCATGCGCAAACGCACATCTATAACATCTATTGATACCAGTAGATTTATGTACCTCTGGTTTCCTCTTTTCCTTACTGTCACTTACTTTGAAAATCTCATTTTTACACGAATGTTGGGAAACTTCTTCTCTCGCGTGTTCCATAGATTGAGCTAACTCTAGTACTACTGTTGACTTAACTTGCTCGCCTCGGTTATTAACTCCCTCGGGCCATCTTTGTCTGACTTTGACTTCAAATTCTGGACAGTTGCTTCCTACTGCAAACCTATCTTGTACTCGTTAATCTAAGCTATCTCCATATTTACAACTTCTTATTCTAGCTAAAGACTTTAATCTGTTATAAAACAAAATAAATGTCTCACCATCTCTTCTTATAGCTCTTTCAAACTCAAACCTTGTTGCAAAAAGGGTCCTTGTAGGCTTGAACAACCGGTTGGCTTTCTCTTTGACTTCGTCGTAGGTGCACTCCTCCCAGGCCCTTGGATATATCTGGTCCGACAGTGCCCTGAGGTGCTCCTCTCCGATATTTGCCAATAGAAGATCTCGCCGAGCCGCTTGTTCTTCTGTGTCAGCACCACCCAGTCCCTTAACTCTGCATCTGCAGGTCAACTAAAAACGAGCTATGTAGTCTTCCCACAATTGTTCACAATTATACTCTTTAACCCTCCGAGCGTCACTCGTCGAAAAATCGACTCATGACACACTTTGTGTAGTGTCACACGTCGATTTTTCGACACACGAACATCGTTTACGGCGAAGGCTCTATGACTGACTGAATCGGATTGAACTGGATCGAGTTAGGTATCGTTCTTTTCGTTAGATTCTAAGCTTTCTCCAGAGGTCTGTCTCTAAGCGCTTTATGTTCTCCGAGCCGATCGTAATTGTAGCAGACAGCTGACGTTCGTGTTTTAGACAACTTGGTTATTTCACATCGGAGACTTGTGTGTTTTTGTACGTTTATCGTCGTTTTTAGTGGTAAAAATGGACAGTAGTGATATACGTAATGCACTAGAAGATGATATGAGTGATGTTGAAGGACTTATTGACGATCCGGATGAAGTTGGTAGTGACATTGATGTTAATTATCAGCCAGATTCCTAGCTATGGTTAGACTATGCATTCTTAGCTAAACGCTATGTACTGAAATCTGTTTTTTGCCTATAACTTATTTATTTGCAAATCCACTTCCTTATATTATTATATATTTGTAATCCTCATAAAATTTAGAACAAAGTGGCTATTTTCAAATATTTATAGGCCTATAATTTATACAATTTCATTGAGCGCAAACTTATTTTTTTTTTTAATTTTTCCAAAATAATTTTTTTTGTTTTACCTAAAAAACTTTTTTGAAAAAAATATTCCTTATGTTTTATGTATGATATTGAAGCCCATGATTTTCCAAACAAAATGGTATATAGAACAGTAGAATTAACATTGTTTTAAGCTTCTCAGATCCGTTTTAATAAAACCTTGCAAATGCGCCAAAAATAGGTGGACATTAAGGCCTAAACTATGGACACTCGGAGGGTTACTCGGAGGGTTAACCCTCCGAGTGTCATGCGTCGCTGCAGCGACTCACGAACACTGTTTACGGCAAAGGCTCTATGACTGACAAAATTGGATTGAACTGGATCGAGTTAGGTATCGTTCTTTTCGTTATATTCTAAGCTTTCTCCAGAGGTCTGTCTCTAAGCGCTGTATGTTCTCGGAGCCGATCGTAATTGTAGCAGACAGCTGACGTGCGTATTTGTAAACAGGTTAGTTAACCTCGGACCGATTACTGATGTGTTTTATAGGCCTATAATTTATACAATTTCATTGAGCGCAAACTTTTTTTTTTTAATTTTTCCAAAATAATTTTTATTTTTCCCTAAATTTTTTTTACAAATATTCCTTAGGTTTTATGTATGATATTGAAGCCCATGATTTTCCAAACAAAATGGTATATAGAACAGTAGAATTAACATTGTTTTAAGCTTTTCAGATCCGTTTTAATAAAACCTTGCAAATGCGCCAAAAATAGGCCGACATTAAGGCCTAAACTATGGACACTCGGAGGGTTAAATGAAAATCTGCTCATTCTATCTTGTATGCAAGACATGTTACTACAATCAATTACACTCTTATACTGAGACTGGTCCGTTTTCCTCGGCATTTTCTCATCGCCAATATAGAATAATTAATTATTAAAACTCATTTAAGTAAACTCAATCAAAACTATTTATTTACAAAAACAATAATAATGTAACAAACCAAATAGTAGATGATTCATAACTCAGCTGATAACAATAATCCTACACTAACATAATGAAAACTAAAGCAAAACTTGGTGGGGAAAAGGGAAGACTTTAAAAATTAAAAAAACAAATAAGAAAGAAAAAACCTGTTGAGAAAAAGAAAAAAACCTAAATGTGCCTGCAAGAGGAAAAATAAAAGTGGTAAGTGGCTCTATTTGAGACCTTATACAGGATTTGGTAGTAAAAGTTAAAAAAATGTACTCATAGGAAATAATTGAAAGACTTCCAGAAAAACCATTAAGTAATTTGGATATAATATAACTTGCTGCTGATTTAAAGTTGCCTTATTTTAGAGGAGTCTTCTTGTACACAGTCATAGATAGTCTGGTACATGGATACAGATAGCTTTGTGTTAGTAAAAAAATCTTTCTTTTTAAAGGTCTTGACATTTTTATTGCCACAAGATCTTTTATGCATATCTCAAAAACGTAAGCTCTACACATACATGGTTTGGATAGAAATTGCTAAATGTTGTTTTTTGAGAGTAATAATTTCCCAAAAAACCCTGTTCTTGTAGTCTGATCGATCATGCTGGTTGGCAAACTCCTTATAACCTTAGGTTTACACGTTACCTAAGCACGTACTAAATTTCATCAAATCGGACTTTTGCTCAAGTAATAGACACGAATTTGGACAGAGATGATGTTTCTGGTAACATCAAAACAACAAAACAAATTATTTTGTTGTTTTGAAAAAAATAATTAAAATTAAAAAATACTTTATGTATATGTTTTTACCTTTTTTTAATTGATATTGCGATGGTTTTGATGTTCGAATGTGTTTGTTATGTTTCAGTGAAGTGGATTGGCGTCGGAAAAGGAAGGGAATCCATCATCAATGTTGAATAACATCAAATACGTTGTTTATATTTACTCAATTGTTAATTTCTTCTCTGCAAGCACAAAATTAAAGATGAAGTAGCCAGTAAAGTTAATCTATTCGCTATTATTTATTTAAGTGTGTTCATGCATTATCGTTGCAAGGAATGTTGTTTGTTTTAATTGATATAATAGTTCTGAAATACCGTAATTTATTTGGCTGTGTATAGTATACAGATTACACTCATTCAAAATGGAATGATGAAGCCTCTTTTATAGTTTGTTTCAACTAACGTTAAATTAGCCCCTAAATAAGAGTGTATGTCAAATGGTTGTAGATTCTTTGTATCGATTTAAACATTGATCATTAGCTTGGCTCTTAGTATTCATGGTCAAATGTATACTTAACCATTTGTGAACCATTTTCAATAGACTACTCATTAAGGGGTTAATTTGACCTTGTTGGAAATCTGATCAAATATTTATTTTTTAATCAGCTGCTGTAAAAATGGGTTTTTATTGGTTAAATCGCCCAACTTGTGATTTGAATCATGGGATGTTAAATACTTAAAAAGTGGAGAATACATTTTAAATCCTCTTAGTAAAATGGTTTTAACTGTACTAAGTAACCATAACCACTTTTGCCTTTTAAATGTAGAATAAGTTATATTTTTTTATACTTTTACTGTACATTGTGATTGGAATTTAAATGTATTTTACTGTATTGCATACATTATGTTAGCATACCTTGGTTTTAAATTGTCGTATACCAAAAAGAAATAGGTATACAAATTTGAAATTGGCTGGGTCCTTATATTTTACAATAATGTTTATTTCTTTTAAATCTTTGTAGGTGGTTACTTGTTTATTTTATTTGATAGTTCTCTTAACATTCTATACCATTTTTTAATTTTTATTCTACATTCCTATTTTCTTATTAAACAGTTTTACCTCATATTGTTAAGTCTGTCAATGACTATCTTTATTCAAGTATTCAAAGCAACAAGACAAATTTTAAAATAAATACTAGTGTGGCTGATACAAGGGCCTTGGTAAGTGTTTAGAGACAAATGTTTCCAACACTATAATCTACTACTTTTACTTAATGTATGTTTGGTATATTTCTGTGACCCAACGTGCAGTACTGGTTTCTCAAGCAAAACAGTTAATTTTTCCAGACACTTAAGGTTTGGGGTGTTTGCCAGCAGAAGAACTAACACTCATATTACAAAGAAAATAACGTAGTATTTTGTGTTTGTTCGGACAGTTCTACATTTTAACAGTTGTAATGCAAACAATAGAAAACAAGAAATTTTGTGACACATTTATAACACAAAATTCATATTTGTTTGGTTCAGCTGTGTGAAGGTTAATTTAATTTCCAGCGTTTCCAGCTCAAATATCTTTTATAAGACGAAATTACTCTTAGACGCGATTCAAGCCTCACTTTCATTCTTAAAAGATAAAAATGAAATCTGCTATTTTATATTTAGTCTACAATTTTTCTTCTCCAGTTAGGGAGTTTATCTAGGATGTCGGAGAGCCTTCTATGTCAGGGTATTTTATCGTGTTGAAGCCAGGATTTGTAATGCATAAGAATTTGCTGAACAAGGTCACACATCTTTATGCTTTCTGATCAGGATGTAGTAAATCTAAGATCAAATATGCTTTTTGATAGTTCTTTGATCAACATTATGGATTTTAATTGTAACATACCTTACCTAGCTATACTAGAGGCAAAATATCTTGAGCTTTAGCTGCAGGAATAGAATAAATAACATCAGCTAAACCAATTCAGTCACTCCATTCCACCTTTATCAGCTGTATGTACATTGCATTGCTCGATATATTGCCGTTAAATCTGTGCGTAATTTATGAGGTTCAAGATATTTTGTGTCTAGCATGTAGACTTATTAAATTTGTTAGTAAACTGTGTTTCTATTTTTCTTTTGAAAAATACCCATTTATTAATATTAAACCTAATGTTATCGTACCAAAGAATGAAATAAATGAAAGAATAATCCTTGTTCGTAATAATATTGAATTGTATGTTTTCAGTATTGAGTCAAAACACACTAATTGTGTATTATTAATACCATTCAACTTAATATTTGTTTACAATTATGTAACGCAAAAAAAATTGTTTTCATAGTTTTAGGTGTATGTCAAATATGTTACCATGTATATTTTTGTATCCTTATTTTCACTCCTGTAATTGTTTTAATTTTATGTTTCATTGCCGGTGCTCTAACTTTTAAACTTGTAGTTATTTAAAGAAATTACATGTACATACGGTATGCTAGTTATTTCAAAAGACATCAGGGGGGGCTATTTTTGATGAGTACAAATCGTTTGGATTAAGCTCTCTTTATATTTGACAAAAAACTCACCTGCCTGTGGAAAAAACTTTTACTAAAGTTTAAAAATTTCAGTATTTTAAATGTGGGAATATTTTAATTATCAGTGCCTAATAAGGTATTGCATGAATAATTATGAATTCTTTGTTAATTATTGTTTTAATACCTACCTGTGCGATAATATTTTACTGCAATTTGTTTTTACACTTAATTATGATCATTTTATTATTTATTTCTTGAATAAATGGTTGTTATTATACTGGTGGATGGAATTATTTTATTCCTCCACACCCTTCCTCTTAGAAAAAGTCATAGCTAATTTAACAAATGGAAATCAAATGTTGGGTGGAACTATTTGTTTGGCATTGTGTATTGGAATTCTCCTGAGTTCATTCCTATTACTTGACTTATGACTTTAAAACATTGTGACATGGACCCAGTTTACCACAGATGTGTTCTGAACTGTTGTACTTGTAGTACAACAGTACAACAATACTTGTACTGTTGTACTTGTAACTGAGTACACAAGGATTGATAGAGAAGAAGTGAAATTAATGATTTGAACTTCAACTAATCAGCTGTTGAGGCCAATTTGATTGTCGAGTGGTGCAATTACTGTAGTGTTTGGTACAATGTTTCCTTGCATCACTGTCAGTGGCATTGAGAAGTTATAAACGAAAACATAACCTCTCTTAGAAGTAATGAGTAGTGATTTTTAGTAATTAAAACACTGTCATAGGTAAAGTAGAGTACGCAACTAGCGTAAATAAGTGTAAACTACACTCATAGAAGTTTTTAAGGCACTCGCCAAGACTTGTACCTGAAATTTTCTACTCATGTAGTTAATACTATCTTTACGCAATCATTAAGTAAGCTACTATAAAATCATTATAATTGTACAATACTAAAAGCTATAATTTTGAGAAATTATATATAACTTGTTGATTACCATTGTACATATTAATATTATACATTTTATGAAAATCATCTTAAAACACATAATTAAACCTAAATTGTTTTTTACAAGATACATAAATCCGTCAGAAGATGTTCAGGGTTTTGCTATGACTCAATGTTCTTGCACGCAAATAACTCTGGTCCTTTCCACAAGGTTGCGCCACACTGACAGATCATTTCAGTGGGACCTGGCCGGCCTCGGCTTGTCCTCAGTGTCTGGCCCGCACTCAAAGTGTTAATGTTACCTTATAATTGGCCTTAAGATATGATATTGCGGAGTTTGAAACGTCACTATAGTCTAGTTTGAGATATTGGATAGGAAAAAAATAAAATAAAAACCTTATATTAGTTTAAATTAAAATTTTATTTTATTAAAGCAACTTGGAATCAAAGCATTTGTTCCTATAAGCTACCACTACCTCCAAAAACAAAAGGATCCCTGTAACAGAAAACTATTTGTAATTACATTAAATAATTGATCATGATACAAAGGTAAGATTTTTAATTTTTACCAAATAGGTTTTAACTCAATTTATTTCGAACAAGTTATACAGGGTAGAACGAAGTTAGTGTTAAAGTTTTACATGTTAAACTACTTAGTATTGGTGACAAAAAGGCACTAATTTAGATTTCCATACCCTCACAGGTAGGGAATGGCAGACAAATTAATATTTTTTCAAAATATTTGTATTTGCTTACTTAAAATGGCCATAAGTGCACTAAAAACTGTTTTATTTAGACTTTATTGTCTTTTTTAGAATACTCATTAAATTTCCAATAGTAATAGTACAGACTCATTGAGATGAAACATGTAGGCCTATAAGCCTTTATTCTGAAATGGAAGTTTGGATTGGTGATTTTTGAGAAAAATGCAAAAACTAACAAGTTTTCTACGTTAAACTGAACTATAGAGAGTGTATCTTGCACATCGTTTGAATGTACCATAAAATTCACGAGTTTTATGGTACATTTAAACGATGTGCAAGATTGACTTATGCAAAATACACAACTTGGATGATTGATAATAACGATAATGATAGATCATATGGTGTGGTTCGTTGGCATACTAGGTCGCCAAACCTTATGTCCACTAGACTTTTTTGTGTGCCTACGTGGATTACTTGGTGTACTCATCTTTAGAGGACGATAATCAGGAAATTCACAATCAGATAATGAACACAGATGTGTTAGTCAGAGGAACGTTGTCTTTTAAAGTTACTGGTTCTGCCACGTGCAAACAAACTTGTCTGTGTATCAGGGAAAATGGAGGACATTTTGAAAAAATAAAAAAAAACTCATGCAATTGGAATCAAGTAGAAGGCACTATTGAAACGTTAAGAAACATTTAAGTTTCGTTTGGTATTGTGTGTTTTACAATTAACTTTTAGTTTGTGTGTAAATAGCTAAAAATAAGCATTTTTGAGGTGTTAAAATTATTTTATAAATGAAAGATCACTTGGCTGTGTTATTTTCCATTGGTATGTGTTTAAGCCCTACAATCAATATTGGTACAATGTACTTGGTTTAGTTTTGTTTTTTCGGTGAACTTATTGACAACATTTAAAGTGTAGTATCTACATTATTATAGAGGAAGTATTTCCTTATGTTTTAAAAAAATCTTAGGTTGAATTTACCATCTAACTTTATATTTTTCGCTCTTTATGAATGCCCATCATCATAGTTTAGCTTAATACAAGGCATTGGTGTGTAGAGTGCACTGGCTCGCCTATTGCCATGGTATTAATACTTTTAATACTTTAATACTTTTCATTGAAATGGCGACCACAGTAATAACAAACATGTGAACATAACAATTGCGCAGATGTTCCATTAGAAGGTGCAACTGCCAGGGCCGTACTCAGACCGGTTTTTCCGGACAATTTAAACTTCAAGGTGTGGTGGCGGGGAGGGGGGCCCGGCCTAATATCCTTACCGGGGCCTGCCAAAGCTGGGCACGGCCCTGGCAACAGCTGTTTTAATACGCCATGACTGTTGTCTCTTTGCTCTCGCTGCGGCCTTGTATTATAGGAGGCTATGCCATAATTGAATTGTTTCTTTCAAAATGGAGCTAGCTTAATAGTCTTTTTAGTGTACTAACACTATACCTCGTTCACAAAATTTAGGTGGTTTGAGGGGAAGTCCTCCCACTTTTTGCTACCCGAGTTTTTGCTTAATGTATGCTGCAGCTGATTGACGTTTTGACAAACCTCAGCTGTTGAGCAATTTTTCAAAGGTAGGATAAAGTGGAGGGGATCGATCGACCTCCCATAAAACCGCCTAAATTTTGTGAACGGAGTAAGTTATAGTCCTTGGCGGCTTTTAGTTATGATAAACAATGAAAATGTAGCTCTAACCTGCAGTGCAATAGCCAATGAGTAAGATAAAGAAGCCTCCCTGTAAAGCCTTAAGACTCATGGGTTGCAGTTTTCCGTCCTCTTCTTGTTTTTCATTGCCCTCTGCAACACTGGTTGATGCCACTTCTTGGCTCTGTTGGTTGTTTTGTGCTTCCATCCTCTTCTTCTCTCCTAGTTTTTCATACTCATCTTCTGTAATTTTTGTTAATATACCAGCTTCAAACAGCCTCATGAGTCTACAATGTAAATAAACATTTTTGAATATAGATGATTTATTTTCTATGAATAATAATTTGCAAATTATTTCAGCATGGAAAATTTTTAATAAAGATTTACACGTATTTACTGTGTAAATAAATCCCTAAAACTGTAATTGCAATTCTCAAATTACTTGCATTCACTTGACAGATGCTATAGAATTTCTGATTGGACAGCAAAATTTAAATAAGAAAAATGAGTTAGAGTGTGAAGTGTTTTAATTTTAAGCACATTCCTCAACAGGCAACAGGATTTACATCAGGGTTGACCCTCTTTTTGCTAGAGATAACTTAACTTTCATAGTGATAATTTTGTTTCAAATTCATATGTTGGAGAAATTGAAGTGCAGGTTATTATGATTGAAAAATTGTATAATGACTTCTATATTTTGGTTTTAGTCAAAAGCAAGAGTGGCGATGTGTAGTAAACATAATCCTTTCATGTAAAAAATGTAAATGAAGAATCTTACATCTGATTGAATTTGTCAATGAAGGGGCATCCCAACTGCATGGCGATTGCTGAGTAACGTGTGTACAGCTTTTCACTCAGATGAAAATTGTAGGCTCCTGAAAACATTGTTATACCCAGAAACTTGTTAGCTACTGATATTTGGCTGTTGATGTTCTATGTCTTAAAAAACTTTGCTTGTAACGGTTACTTCAAGTTAGCATAACTCAATTAGTAAGCAAAATAAAAAATATTAGTTAACCTTTATGTATATAAAAGCGGAGAGCGAGCTGGTCTAGTGGTAGAGCGCAGAACATTGGTCCCTAAGGACCCGGTTACAAATTCCTCCTATCACCAATGGATTTTATATGAGTGAAAATGCCGCGACTCCCTCTAGACCTAGCCCCAAGTAATGATTTTGAGCTAAGACATGGAGGGAAAAGAATCTACTCTAAAGTCTAATGCATCTCAAAAAAGGAAAATGTTATACACTTAATACCTTAATAACTTGGTTAATCCCTTCTAAAACTAGACTAAATAAGGTATCATAATTACATAACTGTTGAAATATGATTTGTGTGAATAGTTAAATTTGGTATCACATGTGTTCTGTAAGTTAGTTGTCATGGATACCAGATGTGTTTTGTGGAAAGCTATATTGTGGTTTTGTATTGAGTAAAACTTGTACCTAAAACACCTTTCTCTTTATCATTCTACATAATTTAAGTCCATTTACAACAGGTTATGGGCCCAGGATATTTTATTCAGTGCCAGAATAATTTATTCAGTGCTTCGTTTAAAGAATACCGACTTCTTAAGTTTGTAACAGCAATATGACTCAAAATTCATTACCAATTGAAAGGCTTAAAGGTCGTGAGAATTTTGATACATGGAAGTTTGCAGTACAAGCTTACCTGGAAGATTTGGATTTGTGGGACTGTGTATCTGGCGTAGAACAGGATAAGAAAAAGGACACTAAATGTCGGTCAAAGCTGATCTTATTGGTTGATCCGGTGAATTATGTACATATTCAAAACACAACCACCGCAAAGGCAGCTTGGGACAATTTAACGAAGGCTTTTCAAGATGATGGTTTAAGCAGGAGAGTTGGACTTCTCCGTATTCTAACATGGTGTCTACTCTCCGGGAAATTCGGGAAAACCGGGAAACCTCCGGGAATTTTATCTTACCTTGAAATGTCCTGGAAAACTCCAGGAATCCACCCAAACCTCCGGGAATCCGGAGCCCAGTCATCGGAATCGTCGCCTAACCGAAACACTACCGCTTTTGTTGCCACGATCGCGGGAAACGATTATCGGTGTTGCCGAAACCGCAAGATATGCTCACGGGTATTGCCGCGATCGCGAGTGACGATTATCGGTGTCGCTGAAACCACGAGATATGCCTACGGGTGTTGCCGCGATCGCGGAACACGATTGTCGATGTTGCTAAAACCGCAAGATATGCTCACGGGTATTGCCGCGATTGCGGGAGACGATTATCGGTGTCGCCGAAACCACGTGAGATGCCTACGGGTGTTGCCGCGATCGCGGGAAACGATTATCGGTGTTGCTAAAACCGCAAGATATGCTCACGGGTATTGCCGCGATCGCCAGAGACGATTATCGGTGTCGCCGAAACCACGTGAGATGCCTACGGGCGTTGCCGCGATATGCGCACAGGTATTGCCGCGATCGCGGGAGACGATTATCGGTGTTGCTAAAGCCGCAAGATATGCTCACGGGTATTGCCGCGATCGCGAGAGACGATTATCGGTGTCGCCGAAACCACGTGAGATGCCTACGGGCGTTGCCGCGATCGCGGGAAACGATCATCGGTGTTGCTAAAACCGCAAGATATGCGCACGGGTATTGCCGCGATCGTGGGAGACGATTATCGGTGTTGCTAAAGCCGCAAGATATGCTCACGGGTATTGCCGCGATCGCGGGAGACGATTATCGGTGTTGCCGAAACCGCAAGATATGCTCACGAGTATTGCCGCAATCGCGAGAGACGCGTGAGATGCCTACGGGTGTTGCCGCGATCGCGGGAAACGATTATCGGTGTTGCTAAAACCGCAAGATATGCTCAACACGGGTATTGCCGCGATCGCGAGAGACGATTATCGGTGTCGCCGAAACCACGAGATATGCCCACGGGTGTTGCCGCGATCACGGGAGACGATTATCGGTGTCGCCGAACCCGCGAGATTTCCTCACGGCTATTGCCGCGATCGCGGTAGGCGATTATCGGTGTTGCCGAAACCGCAAGATATGCCTACGGGAATTGCCGCGATCGCGAGAGACGGTTATCGGTGTCGCCCAAACCGCAAAATATGAATACGGGTCGTTGACGGTGTGACGTTTTGTCGCTGATGTTGAAGATACTGCAAGATATGCTCACTGATATTCCCACAATCGCGGGAGATGATAACTGGTGTCGCCTTACCTACCAGTTATACTGTTTTATTATGTTGTATAAAATATTATTCTTTGGAAATGTTTTGTTTCAAATAATAATAATCATTATTAATAATAATAATAGCCTAATAATAACCATTTTCATTTATTAGCTGGTTGCGATTAGTTAAACGGGTTCCGATAGTAGCTCCTTAAAATTCAGGAATTTGTCTTGAATTCTCCTGGAAAACTCCTTGAATTTTTCAAACCAGGTTTAGTAGACACCATGTCTAATAACTACAAAGCTGGAAGATTGTAGTTCTGTTGAGGAATACGTGAACCGCATAGTCACAACTGCTCACAAGCTTACAAATGTGGGTCTGCAGGTAACCGATGAATGGGTTGGAACAATCTTACTAGCTGGTTTACCCATCCGGTATGAACCAATGATAATGGGAATTGAATCTTCCGGCAATAAAGTCACGGCGGATGCGATAAAAACGAAGTTATTGCAAGATGTGTCTCCAGTACAACGTGATATGACTTTTGCAGGAACTGATTCTGCACTGTATGGTTCCAGTTCAAGAGAAACAGTTCACAAAGTGTATCAAAAGAACAGAAACACGAGTAGTTCGGACAAAATGTGAAGAAAGGTCCGAGATGTTATAAATGCAATGTTTACGGTCACATCTCGAAGAATTGTACATCTACAAGAGAAGTGGGCAAAAATAACGTAAACTCTGGCAAATCTAATACGTCACTCTTTGCTGCATTTTCAATGCAACCGGGCGTTAATAATGAGTTCTTTTTAGACAGCGGTGCATCTTGTCATTTATGTGTTGACGCTAATATGCTTCTGAACGCAAGAAAAGGCCAAGCACTAACGATCACCACAGCAAATAATGAGACAATGGTGACTGATACCGTCGGTGATTTGGAGCTTCCAATATGTATTTCTGGTGAGGTCTCGGAAGCAAATGTAAGTAATGTACATTTTGTGCCTAACTTAAAAGTTAATCTTTTATCAGTGAGTCAAATTGTAAATAAAGGAAACTCTGTGGTATTCAATAGTGATGGAGCCAAAGTTTTCAATTCAACAGGACAGCTCATTGCTTCTGCTAGTTTAATAAACAACCTGTTTAAGTTGGATATGCCTATGAACACATCTGCATTATCCATGCAAAGCAGTGGCTTAACGCTCTGGCATCAGCGTATGGGACATTTGAATTTCGATAGCCTTACAAGATTAGTTGATGGCTTGGCTGATGATATCAACATTTCTGGTAGTAAGCCAGAAACTATTTGTGATATCTGTATGTTAGGAAAAAGCCATCGTTTACCTTTTCCTAAGAGTGAGTCTAAAAGCAGTCATTATCTGGAGCTAGTGCATTCTGACTTGGTAGGTCCTATGGAAGTGAATAGTCTTGGTGGGTCTAGGTATATTTTGACCTTTTTAGATGACTACAGTCACATGTGTTTTGTTTATTTTTTAAAATCAAAGGACGAAGTCAATGGTCACTTTAAAACGTTCAAAGAGTATGCTGAAAAACAAACTGACAAGAAGATAAAAGTGTTGCGTACAGATAATGGTACGGAGTACTGTAATCGCAACTTAACTGAGTTTTTTAAGTCATCAGGTATTGTGCATCAAACTACATGTCCTTACACACCTCAGCAAAACGGAAAGGCAGAGCGTCTCAACCGTTCCCTCCTAGAACGAGCAAGATGTTTGCTGATAGAGTCTGGGCTTCCATCTAGTTTTTGGGCTGAAGCTGTGAATACTGCTGCTTACCTTCTGAACAGATCACCATGCAGGTCCGTGGAACCAACTCCAATACAAGTGTGGTCAGGTAACAAGCTTACTCTACAACATCTCAGAATTTTTGGTTGTAAGGCATTTGCTCACATTCCTGCCGAGAAACGTAAAAAACTTAGTCTACGATCTACTCCCTGTATATTTGTTGGTTATTGTCAGTTTAGTAAAGGGTACAGGTTGTATGATCCTCAGAAGAAAATTACTTTCATATCTAGGGACGTTACCTTTTCTGAAAATCAATGGGGAAGTTCTTTATTGAAAAATGTGAATAAAGACTTAGATTTTTACGTGTTTCCCGAACCTACAGGAAATGTGTCTGATAGTCAGGACAGTACTAGTGGTCAGACACAAACCGGTCCAAGTGTGCCCAATAATGATGATGTGCTTCCTACAGGATCCGATGTAAACCGAAGTAACGACGATGTAACTGATGTTACTGACATGAACATTATTCCGGACACAACAACTCGACCGCAGCGCGTCAGAAACCTCCCAGTTGAATTGAACGATTATGTTACTTATTTCTCTGGCGAGCTATCCGATCCAATATCTCGCGAAGAAGCATTGAATAGTGAGTTCAAAGACTCTTGGAAGAACACTATGGACCGTGAGTTTAAGTCTCAAATCGAAAATAAGACTTGTGAATTGGTCGAAACCCCAGCCTTGAGGAAACCCTTAAACTGTAAATGGGTTTTCAAATCAAAGGAAAATGACAAGGGTCAGGTGACTTGTCAAAGGATTCGACCAAAGGAGGGGAACATTGTCAAAGGATTCGATCAAAGGAGGGGAACAGATTATGACGAAACATTTTCACCTATTCTCCAACAAAGGCTTGACTGTGAAAAATTCAGAGACTGCATTAAGTTCCAGGGATTCCACAAATAAGGAGGGTGTTGAAATATGATTTGTGTGAATAGTTAATTTTGGTATCACATGTGTTCTGTAAGTTAGTTGTCATGGATACCAGATGTGTTTTGTGGAAAGCTATGTTGTGGTTTTGTATTGAGTAAAACTTGTACCTAAAACACCTTTCTCTTTATCATTCTACATAATTTAAGTCCATTTACAACAATAACCATACCAAAGCGTTGAGTGTCAAAGAAGAATGTCTCCCTACCCCCGATGAGGGCTACGTTCTTCTTGTCTCGGACCAGCTTCATACCAAACTCTGGTGAGTCTATTAGAGGATACAAAGTCTGCTTTAGCATCCGTTGCCAGATCTTCTTGTATAATCCAGTGCCATTCTAGCAAAATAAAGTGATAATGTTGATAAACGTAGATTTCAATGTAAATTAGCTATTGCAACTACAGTTTATACCATTAGCATAACTAATTGTAAGTTCCTTTTTAAGGGCACTTTGGATGAAAATAACACGTTTACACCAAAAGCACAGCCGTGACAACTTGTAGAATGGAAATATAGCCATATTAAATATTTTATAATAGTGTATATAGATAATCAATTTGAATAAAATGTAGGAGTTTAAAAGTCTAGAGATTTTACGACAAAAATCTAAATTCTTTTCGCTACTAGACACGAGTTACTCTGTGGCAAAAGGTCTGAGGGATGTAAAGTTATGTCTTTGTATATTATCTTGATGAGTGAGTTAATTGCTGGTTTACACAAACAAACCATCTTGACATTATTTGTACGAAAGTTTTTATGGTTTAGCTCAAAATTACAACACAAGCCAATTAAACCAAGTATTAGACAATATTCCAGCACTTTTTGTTTTCTAATTGCACAGAATGATTTAAATATGTTTATTTATCCTGTTCTTTAGAGCTGTGAATGGTCCTGATTCACAAGTATTGCTACAAGACAAGATTAGTGGGTTTGTTGCTTGTCTAGTTTAGTCTTGGACTTTGGTGCCAGTGGAGCAGGTATGATCCGAGACATAACCACATGCCATTTGGGTTAAAACCACTTTCCCTTAAAACTTTGATTGTCTTTTACTTAGACACCAAAAAAGCCAAATAACTAAAAGTCCCTGAAAAGTACTCACCTCAACATTCCCATGTGAAGCACTAAACTTTTCAACCAACAGTTGGTAGCCTTGGTTCTCCATTGCCTCAAGGAGCTGTTCCAGGTTTGTAATAGGCCTTTCTAAACACCAATATACAAGCAGTATTATGTACCGTAAATGATACGAGTATAATGTAAATCTAACTATATTCTATATCTATAATATGTGAAGCAATTTTTTGTGAACACTACTCCTGTCTTATTTGTGGTAAAATGTCAACGTTTGAGGTGTCAATTTGTGTGTTTCAATTTGTACTTTTGCAAACAAGTTTTAGAATTTATGAATTCTTACCCTTAAGACCGTGAGGCGCTGTCAAAGGTTAAGAGGGTTCCCTACCCCCACCGAAAAACGTCAGAAAACCGCTTTGCGCGGTATCATATAGCGATTCTAGTTTTAACATTTAAATTGTGAACCAAACACCATTTTGTACATAAAGAGTGGTTCTACTAAGTTTGCTTTTTAAAAAATGTTTATGCTTACGCAATCAAGGGCAACGACTTGTCAAAGTTAGTGAACTTTACAGTTAAAGTTCACTAACTTTGACAAGTCGTTGCCCTTGATTGCGTAAGCATAGACATTTTTTAAAAAGCAAACTTAGTAGAACCACTCTTTATGTACAAAATGGTGTTTGGTTCACAATTTAAATGTTAAAACTAGAATCGCTATATGATACCGCGCGAAGCAGTTTTCTAACGTTTTTAGGCGGGGGTAGGGAACCCTCTTAATTCTTCCCCATAAGAATTAGATAGAACAAATTTAATAAAAACAAAAACAGCTGTTTATAAAAGAAAACTCAGAACCTTTTTTGGGAGTAAATATTGATATTTGTAATATTCAGGAGGTTATAGACCAATTTGGTTAATCATCAGTTTTACTTGATTGTTTCTTGTTACATTATGTAATTTCTATTGAACTGTAAAATATTTCATCAGTTGTTCTATTTAAGATAGTTTTTGTTTATGTATTTTTTGTACAACATTTATTTCTGGTTCAATATTACATTATTCACAGAAGTTTTAACAAAATAGAAAAAAATAACATAGCGGGTTCGCTCAAACTTGAGGCACCCTGTAACATAGTAAATTTAGATGCAGGTCACATGTTCAATTTTCTTTAGGCTTCGTCCAACAAGAAGTCTTGGGGAAGCCTTCAGCCGCAATCTTCTATTTTCTGTGGTTTTGCCAAGATAGAATGCCAGTGCTCCAGGAGCATTGTTTAGTTTAGAGAATTTAGAAATTTGAAGGTGGATTTTTCAAGGAAGGTCGAGACAGACTCTATTCTAAGCTCTTTGTGTATGTGTTTATTTCTAACGAACCAAGGAGCATTCACTGCTATTCTAAGAATTTTATTTTGGATTACTTGAATTTTGAACAGTTTATTTTTTTAAATAGCTAATCCCCAGATAGGTGATGCATATGCTATTAACGGCTGAATAATTGATTTATAGATTAAAACTGCACAAACTGGTTTTAAAGTAGATTTTCTATAAAGGAAAAAGCTTTGCAAGGCGTGCATAACCTTGGGAAAGTTTTTTTATTACCGTGGTAGTTCCAAATAAGTTTTTAGTCCAGCCAAACTGCATGTAATGTTTACATTTTTGTGTTAATTATTTCATCTGAAATGTGGCAGATTTTAAATTGAATAGGCCTAAAACCATATCAATTTGGTTGTTAACATTTCTTTTCATAAAAATTTATCCAACTTAAAACTTTTATTTCAAGTATTACTAGTTCTTCTATAATTCAAGAAATCTAAATGGATAAATACTTCAAACCTGAGCGTCTATTTTTGGATCCTAATAATCCCCATTCTGATCGTCAGTGGAAACATTGGAAAACCACTTTCGAGAATTTCATGGAAGAAGTATGCACTGCTGAAGATGATCAACTAAAACTTCTAATTTTGTGGACTACAACATACATGAAATAATCTCAGAGGCTGATTCCTATACCAAAAGCTATATACAGGGTGATTGATATAAGTGTGCCAGCCGTTTTATTCGAAAACTATAAGAGATATAAAAAAAAAAAGTTAAATGGTAAGTGCCTTGGATTTTTTATTTAAAAAACAAAAAAAATTATTTTAGCCGCCATTTTTCCAATATGGCCCCCAACTTTGGTTTTTCTTACGGAACATCCTGTATTTTATGATGTATTCTGGTAGAAAAAGTAATTTTAAGACGATTTTATTCTTGTAATTTTTTTCATAAACCTTACCGTTTTAAAGATAATAATGGTTAAAGTTTTGAAATTTCTGCATGAGAAAGAGTTTCGATAAAGGCCTAAGCAAGCATGCCAGGCCTGTTTTGCTCGAAAACCATTCAAAATTTCACAACTTAAACCATTATTATCTTTGAAACGGTTAGGTTTATGAAAAAAATCACAAGAATAAAATCGTCTTAAAATTACTTTTTCTACCAGAATACATCATAAAATACAGGGTGTTCCATAAGAAAAATCAAAGTTGGCGGCCATAAATGGCGGCTAAAATAATTTTTTTGACTCGACTATAATTTTTTTAATAAAAAATCCAAGGCACTTACCATTTAACTTTTTTTGATATCTCTTATAGTTTTCGAATAAAACGGCTGGCACACTTATATCAATCACCCTGTGTAGCTTTTGCTATTCACGTCATCAACTGGCCACTAGAAGACAGGAATCCGCTCAAAATCAGGCAGTTTCATATATTTCAAGCCCTTGTAACGCTAGCTCAGTCTACTCCTAAAACTGTTGATGTTACTGGTTTCTCAGTTTACATCGATTTATCCTTATATACGTGAAGGTGATATCTACGAAACACTACTCCTCCGTTAATAATGGATGGATTTTTACAAACAATGTGTCAAAATTAAGTATTTTTTGTGCAGACGCACCCTTTCACCAATTCCTGTAAAAAAGTTTTGGGCTTTGCCCCACAAGTCCATCAAAATCCCAATGTATTTCTTATGAAGAAAAGATTTTATTTACCTACTTAATCAGACGAATAATTTGTATTAATTGAATTCTAAAACAACTGTTCATAGTGAACTCATGATACACACAAGAGCGTTCGTTTTCAGTTTCGATAACTACAGTGGAGTGATTACATTATCCTTGAATTGATCTTTCAAGTCATCATAGAAATTATAACTGTCATTCATTTTGAAATAACTCTTGTAATATTTTGCAATTGCTCGATCTCGACTCGAGCTACAGGTACACTAGTATTATCTTATTACCAATGGGGATTCAACTCCAAAACATACGTTTCTTTAGCACAACATAGGCCTACATCACTTCAGCCGATCAAAATTACTCATCATATAATTACTCATTACTGTATATAATTAGCCTACTCTCAAGACTCTCTAATAATCAACTCTCTAATAAACTCACTACGGTATATAATTACTTATCAAAGTCAGACATTGCACAGTTAGTAACCTGTGATTCTGTTTAAAATGTAGGACTACCCTAGTGTGCATTTCTGTCTCAAAGAACTAATAATAATAATAGTTAATATTGTCAGAGAGGAGAGAGGTTATTGTTGGACCCTGTGTAAGACATGAGTCGTGCAACGATTGCCCAATTCACTTTACCTCTGGCAGGTCTTGCGAGCATGGATGTCAGATTGGCTGAGTACATGTCCCCAATTACATATGTTGCTGCCATTGTCAGTAGAATGGCGACAAATCTTACTTTGTGTTTGTTTGTTGGCACAGAAGCACCTGCATATGAAAATTCTTTGTTTAAGCTACACTTTTGTCAAAATGGTGTTAAAGCACAGCAGTTGGTTCAGGATTAAATATTGCATTGAATATTACCAATAGCTGTGATATTACGCCTTGGTGAATCACAGAACAACTGGTACAATAAAATGTGCTGGTTTAGTGATAAGTTTACAGATTATATTTCAATAACTTAAAAGCCTGATAGAAATTACAAAAGTTGTTCATAAAACACGCCACCCGTATTTAGTAGGAATTTGACAACATTATTTAAATCATAATTCTTACAACTTCTTTCAAGCAGAGGCCTGTTTCATAATAAACTACACACTAACATTATTAGTAAATCAGAAATCTAATCATCTGATCACCCAATGCAAATCTAATGGAAACTACAAGTTACAGCTTGTAACTAACTTGTAAGTTTATTATGAAACATGCCCCGAATCTTTCAGTGGTTTTGTTGTAAGAAAAAAATTACCAGCTTCACTAGGTGATGACTTAATTTATATGCTTTTCAATACTGTAATAAGCAATAAAGTATGAGCAGCACAAAGCTGTTACCTTGTCTTAAAAAGATGGCGTAAATGAACCAATTGCACTTGTAGAACAGTTGAAGTGGTGAGGCGTACAGACTTTGGTCTTCATCCCACAGATGAGGGATGTAGATGATGAAGAACAAAAGAGGTCCAGTAACCAAGATGGTGAACACCACCAGGGGCCAAACCTGTGTAGTATTAGGCAAGTGGCACTCGTGATAAAAACACTTTTATCATATACTTTTAAATTTTATTTATTTATTTATTTTTTAAAGAGGTTGGCGGCCTCTTTTAACCTTACACTTGCCCGTCCACATAGACTATGCGCCCGTGCGTGGATCGTTTACAGCAAAGCAAGGAGTGAGCTGGTACAGTACAAAGGTGAACTGTACTGATAAAATTTTATCGGTAGTGACCAGGATCCGAACCCACGACATCGCTGCCTTGGGCCCGAAGTCCGCGACACTACCAACTGAGCCACCAACTCACTACTGACATGTGGTCTATATCAAACCTCACAACAACACTAGCTGAATAAATTACTGTTGGTCTACTAATAATAACTGGCTGAGTAATGAAGATCAAGTGTTGAGAGTGAACTTGGAGCAAAACATCAACAATGACTGAAAAGAAATATAAAATATAGTTCCAACCATTAGGTTGTGCCTTACTTAGTTAATATCAGAGAGATTTGGAATTCATACTGAGTTAACTTTAGGTGCTATCTGTTTGTTTAAGTGGTTAGTTACATTTCCAACAACAATTCTTCAAATGTGTATCATATGTGGAAATAAAGTTATTTATTTATTACTATTTTAATTTGCTATTATTTTTATCAGCACTGCATGTATAATCTTAGTGTTAAGGTGGTACCCCACAGCAAATTAAGTAAATTAAATAAGTTAAATTTGCACCTCCCAGTGAAACGAGCGCACAAGTGCCAGAGCCTCATTCAGTCGTCCAGGTGCGTGAGTCAGGAAAGCTTCGTTGTCTGCCAGAGTGAGGAATGAGAACTCTACAGCCTGACTGCGGTTGTATGTCACTGTCAGATCCCCCATGAACATGTCTACATCCTATCATCAAAACAGTTGTATCCACTATACATGGTAAACCGTTATTGGTATCTGACAATCATTAGTATAAAATATTTACAGGGTATGTTATGTAATTTAGGAATTTATGATTTTCTCTTGCAGATCCTTTTGAATGCACAGTATTCTGAAAGCCCTAGAACTATTGATACATTTCAAGTTTTCGGGGCAATGTGGGGAATTTTTGTATTGATATATTTTATTTAACTTCCATAAAATTAATGTCTTGGTATTTTAGTTTAGTGGACTCTATGGCTTTTCCTTTTTATTAAACTAATTCAAAGATGTTTGCCTCCTTGTGTTTTTTCCTAGCCAAATATGGATACAGAAACAATGGAATATACAAGATTGGCAAAAGGAAATAGTGTGTTGCTGAGACCAAGACAATGACTATGACCTTCAAAACATTGAGTAACAGATTTACAAAACACGTAAAAATTGCCAATAACTATATTACCGATCGTTCAAGCGGCGAGCGACACGGAAGTAGAGTCTAGACTCTGTGTCTCCTGCCACTTGACCGATCGGTAATAGTTATTGGCCATGTTTATGTGTTTTGTGTTAAGAGTTTTGTATAACTGTGATACTCAATGTTTTTTTAAAATCGCAAGAATGAGAAGATGATTACGACGTCCGCCTGAAGGTCACAAGAAATCACTTGACGCAGGTAATTTCCACCAGTAAACGTATTGATCAGTGCTTCGGAGGCCTAACTCAAACAAAATGAAATGACTATGACTACCTATTAGGTTTGATGAAAATTTTTAAAGCCACACACGGCTGTATTTTATGTCCTCTAATTCACTTGTAGGACGTTGTATTTATTGTGGGAGTAGGATTTAGGATTCAATGTATGCACTGACAACTATTTCATACAAGGTGTTAAAAACTCCTGAAACGTCTTTAACATGAGAATTATCTCTTCTTCAAGGTTACAGTATATCTACAGTGAAAGGTGCAAATCAATGTGGGTTTACATTTCAGTTATTTTTAGCTGTTTTTAAATTAACTCAATGGAGGTAATTGCTATTTTGTACAAAACATTTTATTATATTACTTAAGTTTGTAAAGATTAGTAGGTATCAGTAATTTTAGTTATGAGAGAACATTTCATTACAACCAATAAACTGATTACTTTAATACCTAAACCTATAATTGTAAATTTACAATGCAACATAAGCCATGAGCTTAAAGAAGGGCTTGTTTAGCGTGTCTACTGTGTTATTTAAGAATCATGTTTCAATTCAAAATAAATGTTTTAAACTTTTTCTTACCCTTCTCCATATCTGACCAAGAACACCATTCATGGTTCCGTTCATATCAATCACTGAGCCTTGGCTCTTCTCAGGTGGATCAAAATATTCAATTCTGTAACAATCAAAATCACAAAAAAGTATCAGTAATTGTTTTTACTAGCAAGGTGTAACAAATGCAGCAGTTTTCCCTCAACGAAATCTTTTTGCTTGGCTATGTTGATAGTGACTTGGAAAGTGATTGTATTATTATCTTGTGGAAATCTCTAGACTGAAACTTAAATAGTTGTTGACTGCCAATTAAAATGTAACTTAATACTCCAACACTATAATCTTGAGGATGCAGTTTGTGAAACTTCGAGTGAGATTGTGCCCTCCTCTATTTTGTTGTGTTCTAACAATATATATTTGTGTAATTCTTTAACCCTTTAGAGACAGACCCTATAGTGTATAACGCACTGCGTAGGTTAATTTGAGCAGTTTCTGCAATGTTGTAGAAAAAATGCTATAACTTTAGAATAGCAGCCCTCATTAACATTTCTTGCATGCTGTTGTTATTTTTTTTAGATTATCGTTTATTTAAACTGCCGATATATCGGAAGTTCGTCCTTTTAGCAAAAAACTACCACCTTCCGAAAAATCGGAAGTTGGTCTCCTAAGGGTTAAGCCCCGCATACATTAGGGGATTTGGTCGCTCTTCGATGGGCGCAGATCACCAGCAACCATGCTTAAATATCTAATCGCTCATTGACGATCGACCTAATCGCCTAATGGGAAGCTTTAAATGTACATTATTAGCTTGAATATAATAATTTGTGAACGGTATTTACTCAGTTCATAACAGTCTCTTGTCATATACTCACTTGAAATTAAGTTTGTTTGCCAAAAGTTGAAGAAGCTTATCATCACGTCCTCCCTCGACCACTATCCCACTGTTGTGGTACGTGACAAAATGCCAGGGAGGTTTCTGCACAAACACATTTTGTGTCTTTTGTATCAAAACATTAACTACAACTATAACACTAATTTACTAAAGATTATTATTAAAACTTACTATTCAGCAGTGTAGTTGTCAATTTTCCTGTGTGAGAACGCTCACTTACTAACCTATAGGATTCTTGGATAAAGCAGAATCTGAACACCATTCCTACACGTTCCTGCCCTAACACTACTGATACTATTACACAATTTGTCATCAAAGATAATAGAATGGTATCTTACTAAATCTGTTGATTGTTTTTAAAAACCCATGTTGTACCGGTAACTGTTTTTATATTTTTTGGAGCAAAAGATATTTTGGGAGAGGGGAGAATATGAGAGATGGGCCAAGATGATGGACCTAATAAGTCATGCCTTCCAATAAGTTTTACATGTTTTAGTTCGGGTACTAAGTTCTAGAACTAAAGAACAACAATTTTATTCTAATATGAATCATAACTTTTAAATCTTGTTTTCCTATTTAAAGTTATTATTTTATTTTTCCCCAAGATGATTAAGCCATACAAAGTTTGATATGACTGGCTAACTAATTAAAGTAATGTTGGTGGAGTACATGCAACACTGGTATACTGAAGCTGCGCCTGTTGAAATCTTCATACACTTTGTCTGCGTCAGGCAGTAAGGACAGCTTGTACAGTCGTTGCTTCTGAAAGCCGCGGGTCGACCACCAGTTAACTATCTTCAACTGTGGAAAACCACTTGAGTCGGCCTGAGAATAGAATACCTGCAATCTACCCAACAGTTTACTATAACACAATTTAAGTCATATTGTTTTCATTGTTTTTCACTCTTTACTACATGAATTCTTTTGTCCAAGAAATTGTAGACTTTTATGTTTACGGCAGTTTAAAAAAAAACACATTAATACTGAAGCTAACAACAATGTGTTAAAACTTATTCATTTACTTTTTATTTATTATGTTGCTTGAGTTGGTCATCTATTATTATTGCCATTGAACTAAGAGTTATTCAGCCCAAAGCCTTACACCAACTATTATAGTCTTGATGGCTTGATATGACAAGACTATGACAGGAGAAGACGGACTAAGACAAGAAATTACAAGAGAAGCCATCATCACTGCTGGAAACTATAGTTTCACATTGCCGAGTATTTGTTTTTTTTTAATTTTAGTCTTTAAATCATTCCCTCAATTATTTGGTTATGATGAAAACTGATACTATTTTAACTTACATTGATATTGAGTGAATTATAAATTTTATTTTTCCACAGAGCAAATACGAATTCAATGAAAAAGTATGATTGCAAGAAGTAATAATTAGCAGGAAGATTACACGTGTCATAAAGAACTCTGACGCCACAGACCAAATAAATAGATCACACAGTCTAATCGTCAAATCAAGTGCCAAACAAAGAAATAATTAAAATCTTCAATTTTTACAAATATTGTGTTGAAGCTTTTAATGGAATTTTTTGTAAAAGAACTACATATTGATACACACACAAGAAAATGAAGAATGTGACATCGTTAATTAATATTTTACATTGTAAAATATTACCAACAACAGCATGCCTAGGAGACATTAAACTACATAGGCGGACTCTCCGTGGCCAAAACAGCTTACTTCGCACTGGTAGAGTCGCATCTTAGATATGGCTTGACAGTGTGGGGAGGAACTTCAACAAAAAATATGAATCGAATTCTCGTCCTTCAAAAGAAAGCCATAAGAGCCCTCGCCAACCTTGTCCCACCACAGACTTGCAGACTAGCATTCGCAAACCTAGGAATCCTCACAGTGGTGTCTCTCTACATACTTGAATCTATAAAGTATGTGAATGAAATAAACCCCCCAAGAAACCAAGACCTGCACCACTACAACACCCGTCATGGCTCCAAATTTGCACTACCAGTTCACCGAACAACTCTTTGGGAGAAAAAACCTTCCTACACCGGCTGCAAGCTGAGGAACCATCTACCTGACTACCTGAGAGACCTGACTGGCAACAAGCTACACCAGGAGTTGAAGAAGTGGCTAATCGCAAGACCCTTCTACTCAATAAAGGAATTTTATGAAAATTAACATGTACAATTCACTATTGTATTGACACTATTGTAATTCTTGACGAATTAACAATAAAGAATATTGTATTGTATTGTATTGTATTGACATGATACACGGTTATTTGTAAGGTTAGAGAAGCAATCATCTCCCTCGGTCGATATCAAATTAGTGTTTCCAATTAATGTGGTTAGTTTCTGGTGATCTGAAAATGGCTGCTGAGTGCAATCCGTGATGAAATGGGCATGTGTTTGGAACTGTGTGGGGCACACTTTTTCCCTCTTTGCACTTTCAATAAAATACTGGATGGTTAAAATTTAACTCTTTTACATGTTTTTCATTTCTTTCTTAAATTTTTTACTAAATTATATTCCTTTAATTCTTTGAGCCGGTAGATTTGTTATTGATTTTATGATACATATTTATAGAACAAGTTTATGGTGTACACACACTCATGAGGTTACAAAATCAATTAATGAATAGTAGATGATTTTTCATAGACTTTTGATAAATGGAAGCTATACAAATTAATTATAGAAATCCAACTAAGATTTATGATTTATTGAGATGAGAACTTACGTTCCAGCTCTGCGACTTATTATAACAACAACCCTCATTGCCTCGATCAGGTTCTCTTCAAAAATTGGCGAAATATCTTTTCCTCTCCAGTAAAACATATAGAGTAAGTTACGTCTGATCAGGTCTCTCTCACGAATCTAACAAATAAAGAAAAAAATACAGATATCATTAATACCTATGTACCAGATAGGAATCTAAATAGAAGTAAAAATGTTCAAACGTTTTTAATAGGTTTGATTCAAATTTCAAATCATCTGGAGGTTTTAAATGAAAGTTAGTTTAGAAACCTTTTCAAATAAGCATTGATGCAGATTGTTGCATACAAGGATTTGACCTCTTAACAGTGGTGTAGTCGTAAATTGTACAGTGCGGGTGCGGGAACAATAACCATTGAACCACTGTCGTATGAAAAATGTGGGTCACCTATGAATGTATAGGTTCTTTGGAAAAGGCCAGAGTAGGAACGCTGTTCTCATGCATTCCCGCTCCATTACACACCACTGCCTTTGAATCAGTCTAAAGACTGGTCCACACCCTCACATGTGTTTGCAAACAAGTTTGTGGGGGCTTAAGCATATTGGTTTCAAAAGTACCAACCATAGTAGGCAACCAGTATTTCACAAAAATAAAATTTTAAAATTACCAGAGTTGTAAAGATAAATTTGTGTTCAATAAAAGTTATGTTTGAATTTTAAACTATGCATTCCACAAAACATGACTGTATGTTTACACTTTAACTTTGACAGAGTTTAACTTGCTAACCTCTCTTTTTGGAATCACCCTGTTTGTCAAGCAGTTGAAAGCAATTTTTTACGTTGGTTATTTTACTTTTTTATCCCAAGAACGTTTTTTTTAATCCCTCTTAAAACAAATGTTGGTCATATTATGTATTTTATTCTTTATAACTCGTTTATATTTGATATTGTGAAGTTTTACCATTTTTAAGATGTCTTCACTGAGAGTCGGAGCTGTCATGATAAAGTAAACAGCACCAGTGTGAGTCTTGAGGCAGCCATTGATGTCACTGTACAACTAGATATTACAGATAAACATGTTTGGTAATGAAACACAATAATAAATTCAAACTCACTTTCAACTTAATTTAAATATTTCTTAAGTTGCGGTGGTGAATTTTTACTGAATTTATTTTTACTGAAGTAAGATATCACAAATAATTATTTGTGGCATAACTCAAATTGACATCAAATCAGTCCTGAGTCTAGGACTTGACGTGCCACCTACAGTAATGACTTCTTGCCTATGGGGAAATTCAATAAAAGGTGATCCAATAGGAATGTTTCAGAGGGAGAACAAGAACTGTTAGTGAATATTGTGTGCAAGACAGAATGTTTCTTAATATAAATTAGGAGTCCATGTAAATATATAATTTTTTTATTACCGTCTGCAAAAAGTACCTTATTCAACCCATCTGGAGCATATTGGATGCGGTACACTGCCACTAGGATGCCTGTTCCATTGTTTAATGTTTTCATTAATGTTGTTTGAAGATCGTCACCTGGATATGTGATATATACATGATACATTATTTTTCCATCCATAGTCCTTTGAGACAATGAATAATATCTAGAAACACAACTAGCATAGCTCAGGTTATCAGATTTACATACAGGTATACAGTTATAACTGAAAATGTTATAAACTTGACTTGACCAGATCCTTTTTGGCTTTTGTCTTAAACTTTGAGAGATTTTGAATGTATGGTAATTTTTATGGCAAGACCTGAAACAACTTTTTCCCAATGTAAAAGTACCTGGGTTTATGCTCAGAAGATAATCAAGGTTTAAATGTATTTTAATGCATGTGTCCCTTTATTTGGATGTAAAGCCCCCCATACACGGGCAAACATGTTCGTGATGGTGTTGGCAGCGAACATGCTCACCCGTGTGTGGGGTCTGCGAGCCTTCGTACGGGCGAGCATGTTGGGTTAGGCGCTCGGCTCGTCAGACTGTCACAGCACGAGAGAAGCAAGAGTACTGGGCGGTGGCGACAAGAAAGTTCGCAAGCATGCTCGACCGTCTGTTGGAAACGCCAAGCATTTTCGCAAGCGTGTCTGCCAACAGGCTTGCGAACATGCTCACCAGTGTATGGGGGGCTTAACAGCCATGGTTTGTGGTTTTGATGTTTAATGAAGCAAAAATATAAGAAAATTAATAGTGAGAGAACTGTAATCTAAGCAGTTTGAAATAATTTTTACAGCTGGTCCATGGTGACAACGATAGTTTTTAGTTTTTATTGCTTTTTTTTGCTGGGTAATAATCTGACCAGGGTGGCCATTCACAGTACCCCATAAGATTATTACAAGGCAATTTGTTCCATCAGGCCAAAATGCCCCAATTCGGACTAGGGAAGAGTCGTCATTCGTAGTCTCTCATTAATTTGAGAACAAGGAGGACCCCTAACTAGCGGTTTTCTTATTTGATGTTCCCAATCCAGTATATCCCACCAAATACACAACCTCTACATATTTTACATTATCATAAAAAGTCTACTTTCAGTATGAAAAGCCACTGGTTGGGATGAAACACACCAATGCCAATAATGAAGCAGGGATTTTATATTAATACCTTTACCGTACTACACGCCATCAATTCTTCATTCATTTCTGGAATTTTTCCCCTGGGTAAAAAGGGTAATCCAAACGAAATGTAATTACAGACCAATATCATTATTACGTTCTTTAAAAAAAAAAATTAAAAGACGAGTTCATATTTAAATTTAAAAAATTGTATAGGATAATAGTTTACTAGATAAAGAAAAGTATGGGTTTAGAGAAAGACAATCTGTATGTGATACAGAAGTTGGTTTCTGTGAATCTTCAATATATTTTATTTTTAAATGATTCCAAGGAAAAGTATTGTCGGAATTATATTGAACTTAACTAAAGCTTTGATAGCGTCTCACATGATTTACTTAAAACTTTTGAATCTCTCAGGAGCAGAACCTGTACTTCTTAACCTCTGCTCTTTGAACAAACTGTCAAATTAAAGTGTTTGCAGAGCTGAATTCATTGCTATATTAAACAACTTTAAATTTAAAAACAAGGTTAAAAAAGGTTAAAACAACTTTAATAAATTTGACTTTTTCTGACTAACTGAAATAATTTGATCCTCTAATCTTAATTTTCTTTGCAAAACAGTTTAGTTGTAAAAATAATATAGTTTTTTTAGTCTTAATGAACTTTATTTTAATAATGAAACTGACACCATTCTGCACATTTACTTATGTGTATTATGAATAGTTATTTTGATTAATTGATTGAAGTTACATTGATTTCTTTAATCACACAATCTCTCGGAAGAAGTCAACCTCGATATCAGGTTGTATCCTATTTATCTTATCAGAGTCAATACTTAACACAGACCCACAGTGTAGTCAATGACCAAGACTACTTGTCTCGTAGGGAGAGCTATCATTAGGTCATTGATGGCTGCAGACAGTCTCAGATGAGCGTATGAGTCATCAGCGTCCTCTACACTCGGCAGATCTAACACGCAATATCCTACGGCAAACACAGACCCACAGTGTAGTCAATGACCAAGACTACTTGTCTCGTAGGGAGAGCTATCATTAGGTCATTGATGGCTGCAGACAGTCTCAGATGAGAGTATGAGTCATCAGCGTCCTCTACACTCGGCAGATCTAACACGCAATATCCTACGGCAAACACAGACCCACAGTGTAGTCAATGACCAAGACTACTTGTCGATGGCTGCAGACAGTCTCAGATGAGCGTATGAGTCATCAGCATCCTCTACACTCGGCAGATCTAACACGCAATATCCTACGGCAAACACAGACCCACAGTGTAGTCAATGACCAAGACTACTTGTCTCGTAGGGAGAGCTATCTTAAGGTCATTGATGGCTGCAGACAGTCTCAGATGAGCGTATGAGTCATCAGCATCCTCTACACTCGGCAGATCTAACACACAATATCCTACGGCAAACACAGACCCACAGTGTAGTCAATGACCAAGACTACTTGTCTCGTAGGGAGAGCTATCTTAAGGTCATTGATGACCGCAGACAGTCTCAGATGAGCGTATGAGTCATCAGCATCCTCTACACTCGACAGATCTAATACGCAATATCCTACGGAAAACACAGATCCACAGTGTAGTCAATGACCAAGACTACTTGTCTCGTAGGGAGAGCTATCTTAAGGTCATTGATGGCTGCAGACAGTCTCAGATGAGTCATCAGCATCCTCTACACTTGGCAGATCTAACACACAATATCCTATGGCAAACACAGACCCACAGTGTAGTCAATGACCAAGACTACTTGTCTCGTAGGGAGAGCTATCATTAGGTTCATTGATGACCGCAGACAGTCTCAGATGAGTCATCAGCATCCTCTACACTTGGCAGATCTAACACACAATATCCTACGGCAAACACAGACCCACAGTGTAGTCAATGACCAAGACTACTTGTCTCGTAGGGAGAGCTCATTATAGACCCAACAGTTCGTCTTGAGACAAATGAAAATCAGCCCCAGGAAGTCCATGAAGAAAAAGTAAATATTTATAAGAAAACTATCCCATATTATTCAGAGAAATATAAAATATCAAAATTCAAAGTATATGGACTACTCATTGGATCAAGAGGAACAATTCCTCAACAAGTTGAGAAATTTTGGAAGAAATTCAATTTGGAAAATCAAGTGCTATATTTAATATCTTTAACAGCCATAAAATTTTCTATTAATATTATAAGAAACCACCTATATAACAATTATCATAATTAGGTTTAAACAAACTTGCAAAATTTAATGTAATATTATTCTTTGTTCTACAGCAGACTACAATGTGTAGTAAGATTTCAATTTTTAAAATAAATTTGAATTTATATAGGTTCATTGATGACCGCAGACAGTCTCAGATGAGTCATCAGCATCCTCTACACTCGGCAGATTTAACACACAATATCCTACGGCAAACACAGACCCACAGTGTAGTCAATGACCAAGACTACTTGTCTTGTAGGGAGATCTATCATTAGGTTCATTGATGACCGCAGACAGTCTCAGATGAGTCATCAGCATCCTCTACACTTGGCAGATCTAACACACAATATCCTACGGCAAACACAGACCCACAGTGTAGTCAATGACCAAGACTACTTGTCTCGTAGGGAGAGCTATCATTAGGTTCATTGATGACCGCAGACAGTCTCAGATGAGTCATCAGCATCCTCTACACTTGGCAGATCTAACACACAATATCCTACGGCAAACACAGACCCACAGTGTAGTCAATGACCAAGACTACTTGTCTCGTAGGGAGAGCTATCATTAGGTTCATTGATGACCGCAGACAGTCTCAGATGAGTCATCAGCATCCTCTACACTCGGCAGATCTAACACACAATATCCTACGGCAAACACAGACCCACAGTGTAGTCAATGACCAAGACTACTTGTCTCGTAGGGAGAGCTATCTTAAGGTCATTGATGACCGCAGACAGTCTCAGATGAGTCATCAGCATCCTCTACACTCGGCAGATCTAACACACAATATCCTATGGCAAACACAGACCCACAGTGTAGTCAATGACCAAGACTACTTGTCTCGTGGGGAGAGCTATCATTAGGTCATTGATGGCTGCAGACAGTCTCAGATGAGTCATCAGCATCCTCTACACTCGGCAAATCTAACACACAATATCCTACGGCAAAAACAGACCCACAGTGTAGTCAATGACCAAGACTACTTGTCTCGTAGGGAGAGCTATCATTAGGTTCATTGATGGCTGCAGACAGTCTCAGATGAGCGTATGAGTCATCAGCGTCCTCTACACTCGGCAGATCTAACACGCAATATCCTACGGCAAACACAGACCCACAGTGTAGTCAATGACCAAGACTACTTGTCTCGTAGGGAGAGCTATCATTAGGTCATTGATGGCTGCAGACAGTCTCAGATGAGTCATCAGCATCCTCTACACTCGGCAAATCTAACACACAATATCCTACGGCAAACACAGACCCACAGTGTAGACAATGACCAAGACTACTTGTCTCGTAGGGAGAGCTATCATTAGGTCATTGATGGCTGCAGACAGTCTCAGATGAGTCATCAGCATCTTCTACACTCGGCAAATCTAACACACAATATCCTACGGCAAACACAGACCCACAGTGTAGTCAATGACCAAGACTACTTGTCTCGTAGGGAGAGCTATCATTAGGTTCATTGATGGCTGCAGACAGTCTCAGATGAGCGTATGAGTCATCAGCGTCCTCTACACTCGGCAGATCTAACACGCAATATCCTACGGCAAACACAGACCCACAGTGTAGTCAATGACCAAGACTACTTGTCTCGTAGGGAGAGCTATCATTAGGTCATTGATGGCTGCAGACAGTCTCAGATGAGTCATCAGCATCCTCTACACTCGGCAAATCTAACACACAATATCCTACGGCAAACACAGACCCACAGTGTAGTCAATGACCAAGACTACTTGTCTCGTAGGGAGAGCTATCATTAGGTCATTGATGGCTGCAGACAGTCTCAGATGAGAGTATGAGTCATCAGCGTCCTCTACACTCGGCAGATCTAACACACAATATCCTACGGCAAACACAGACCCACAGTGTAGTCAATGACCAAGACTACTTGTCTCGTAGGGAGAGCTATCATTAGGTCATTGATGGCTGCAGACAGTCTCAGATGAGTCATCAGCATCCTCTACACTCTGCAAATCTAACACACAATATCCTACGGCAAACACAGACCCACAGTGTAGTCAATGACCAAGACTACTTGTCTCGTAGAGAGAGCTATCATTAGGTCATTGATGGCTGCAGACAGTCTCAGATGAGCGTATGAGTCATCAGCATCCTCTACACTCGGCAGATCTAACACGCAATATACAACGGCAAACAGCCCAAGATTAAGATAAATGTATCTATTTATTTTGAAAAGAAATCCGTTGGAGGTATGAGTTAAATGGGAGATTAGACTCAGGGTCCTGGCACGTCAACCATAGCATTGAGCATGGGGTAAGAGTTACTTGAATCCACTTGAGTCTGGTTTGATCATTATAAATAGTGCGTTCTGGTCATCAAATTTGAAAAATATGTAGAACTCCTTCATTTAACTTACAACAGTTTGGCAAAATTTAAATATTTTAACAATCACATTAAGTAGTTGGGCACAGATTTAACTTTGAAATAGACGGATTGAAGATGAGGATCATGTAATAAACATACATATCAACAATTATACCCTTGGCTTTGTATGATTAAAATTAAACCCTTAGACTAGGCAATGTGCAACACAGTACAACCTTAACCATTAGCCTACTCTAATACCAGGCCGCACCTAACAATGTGGCAATTCCCCACTTGCCGGCCTATTGGCATAGTTGGCATAGTCTTAATAACAAACGTTGTGAAGATTAGCATTGCACAGACGCTCCACATGAATTAGCGTCTACATCTGTCTCGGTAGGCCGGGACATCAAGGATGCCTTTGTATTAGAGGTTTTGGTACTATTACAGCAATTACATAAACTCACAGCTTTAAGTTTTTATCAGAATGAAATTCTAGGGAAAATACCAGTAGGTTAAATCCATTGTGTTACTCATATTTTTAATTGCCTGACTCCTGCTGTGACATATATAGAGAAAGTCAAATTGAAATTCAAGTGAGTAAAAAAAGATGGTAGAACATCTTTTTAAGTTATATTATAAAAGATATTATGCTAATGGTGGTCCAATGAAATGGAAATGACATGTGAATAAGTATTCGGTTTATGGATTTTTAGGACAAGACATTAATATCAAAATATAATTTACTGTTTATCACGAAGGGTAAATAAACATAGCTTGGAGTTTAAATTTCATGAAAAGTATTATACTGTAGTCTAATACTCCTGTGGGAAATACACAAACTTATAAAATTATGTCTGGAATGAGCAATCATTGATTTACTTAGTAAAAGGGCACCAATGATTAGTATTGAAAGATTGAATAGTACCTGGATTTAGCATTGCAAGTAATAAGATACCATTGTACATCAGACACATTGCACTGGCCAGAACAAAGAGAAGCAACATTGGTACATTCTTTATGTTGTGTCAGACTACTTTGACATGACAGTCTGAGAGCGATGACCTTTGAGCATCATGACAGGCTCATACTTTATTGGCAAAGGTTGCATTTAGGCCCATGTCAACTTTGTTGATGTCAGATAACCTTTGATATCAGAATGTGATTGTGAAAATTGTAATCCTATGTGCACCCTCTAAGCCTGATACATAGAATAATAACCAACGTAATAAAACAAGATAACATTCACTTAAAACTTCTTCTATTAAAAACTTTAGCATAATTCTACCTAAACAGCTGAAAACTGTGTCTCAAAAGTTCTGCAATTTATAAATCAAGCATAGAACTACCAAGTTAAACCAACAATATCCTACCAACAGTACAGTGGAACTGGATTAACCATGTTGAAATATTGATAACAAGTAATATTTAACTCTTTGCGGTCGAATGGCGAGAATAGGTCGCCGCCCGCCATCTTCCCAAATGCTCAAAAATGGCGACCTATAAATTAAAAAAGTATATCTTTGCGGTTAAATGCCGAGTATTAGTCTACGTGTGCCATTTTCCCCGACTGCTTGAATAGTGACCTTAACTTGCCAAAAAATAAAAAAAAGTTCAACCTCTAAGGGTTAAGTCTAATCAAAGGCTGACAAGTCTAAGACATTAGGTTCCCAGCCAGAAACAGTAGTGCAATCTAGAGTTTAAGTTTCCTCTGAATCATCTCTGGTGAGCGCCTCATGAATTAATCAGTCTATGGAGGAGCTTGTTGTGAGAACATACACTATGAACATGGTCAGGATGGGTTCATTGTTTATTTGTTATTCGTTTCGAGTTGCACATCAGACAGGCACATTGCTTCTTTTTACCTTTCCTTTACTGAGGGAAAGGTGATATTCACCATATTAACACAGACAAACATGTTTTTCATTCGTGATTTTCACCTTTCGCCAAATAGAAAAAATGTCTTCTCCTTATGTACATTGACATTAATTTATAATATTCATCAATGTAAAAACCACTAACAGACTGCAATTATTTATTACCCAAGGAATATTTTATAACCTGAAACCACACGTTTTGATAATTTATTGTTGTTGGAAAGACAGTAGGAACAGAGATAATAAGTAGTTAAAAAGGTTAGATATCATGTGTTGTTGGAAGAATTAAACCCTTTTAGTTGCTTTTTCATTTGTTGTGTTATTTATAGCAGTAAGTTTAATACTGTAGTATGAAAATTTAAAGCGTTGAAACACTTGAAACCCTGATATTTATTTATAAACACCGGTACTATAACATTAATATTACACCTGGGTAGGAACAGCAGGTGGCAGGTACCAATTGTTCCAATAATGCACCTACGAAAATATAATCTCCCACATTATATTTCTAAATCTATCTATAACAACAGCAATAAGTAGAAATCAAGGGCTCTTATAGTCATAAGCTATAACAAAGAATGTTTGCAAAGAGAAACATTCACTAGGTACATGGAAGGAAAAGGAAATTGCAGTTAAAACTAAAAAAACAATATTTAGGGAAAAAATCTTACAATTTTTTTATATTAAATAATCTTTATAATTTATCACGTTTAGACATTTTTATTTACATACACATTAACAGGAAACTATTTACAAAAACCCCACCGTGCTTAAAATAAAACAACAGCTTATTATCAGTCATTATAGTTAACAGAGCTACGAATTAAGACTGGTTGGATTTGGAAACAAACTTTTTCAATAATTTTAGAAGAAAATTATTGATAAAGCAAACGTTGTCACTGAAACCCGTATTATGAGTGACTAACCCGCTGACACCACACCACACCACACAGTTACACATGTTGACGACAAATGTGTGCACAATGTCAAGTACACCATGTTCCACACACCAAATCATAACATTGGCTACATGGCATGGAAACATTGTACTTGACGTTGACATTGATAAAATTACACAAATTTCACTAACGGTACTTAAAAAACTGTAAACTCATTAATAAAAGTAATCTCAAAATTTACAAAATTATAACAAAATAATTTTTTCTTCAACAAAACTTTAGTTTTCTTCAAAACCATGGACTAATAAAATGACATTTAGATGCAATAAAACAAAAAAATATATATGTTGGTGATTGATTACAATAATAATTTACATAGGCCTAGATATGTAAAAAAATTATGCCTGAAATGTGTTAACCTGATACTAAAAAAGTTTTGATATTAATTAAAGACAAAACTTGAAATCTCTATACAACTTGAGAATGAAATGTTATTGTTGTTTAACTTTACATTTGAAAAATTATACATGTTGATGTAAAAAATGTTTTTTACAACAAAGCAGTCACAGTAATCTATTACAAACATTACTGATAACAACTTGTAATCCCTGTTTTATAAAAACCAATCACACTGTGGAGCCAAGCCTCTGATATTTTTTGTGTAAATATGAGCACACTCATATTAATCCACTCACTTTTATAAGTGTTTAAAGAGTAACACGTCTTTTTATGAATGTAAACATCACAGATTGTGGTGAGTGCTAGTGTTGAGGTCTGCGGAAATACATGATGATGCCCAACATGCCCAGTAGAGCAGTCAGTAGGTAGAAGTCCCAGTTGGGACCCAGGGAGTTGTCTAGGTCCAGGAGTCCTAGCCAGTCGTACCAATGACTCTGCAACAATCATACAAATGTAAACATCACAGATTGTGGTGAGTGCTAGTGTTGAGGTCTGCGGAAATGCATGATGATGCCCAACATGTCCAGTAGATTTAGGTAGAAGTCCCAGTTGGGACCCATGGAGTTGTCCAGGTGTCCTAGCCAGTTGTACCAATGACTCTGCAACAATCATACAAATGTAAACATCACAGATTGTGGTGAGTGCTAGTGTTGAGGTCTGCGGAAATGCATGATGATGCCCAACATGTCCAGTAGATTTAGGTAGAAGTCCCAGTTGGGACCCATGGAGTTGTCCAGGTGTCCTAGCCAGTCGTACCAATGACTCTGCAACAATCATACAAATGTAAACATCACAGATTGTGGTGAGTGCTAGTGTTGAGGTCTGCGGAAATGCATGATGATGCCCAACATGTCCAGTAGATTTAGGTAGAAGTCCCAGTTGGGACCCATGGAGTTGTCCAGGTGTCCTAGCCAGTCGTACCAATGACTCTGCAACAATCATACAAATGTAAACATCACAGATTGTGGTGAGTGCTAGTGTTGAGGTCTGCGGAAATGCATGATGATGCCCAACATGTCCAGTAGATTTAGGTAGAAGTCCCAGTTGGGACCCATGGAGTTGTCCAGGTGTCCTAGCCAGTTGTACCAATGACTCTGCAACAATCATACAAATGTAAACATCACAGATTGTGGTGAGTGCTAGTGTTGAGGTCTGCGGAAATGCATGATGATGCCCAACATGTCCAGTAGATTTAGGTAGAAGTCCCAGTTGGGACCCATGGAGTTGTCCAGGTGTCCTAGCCAGTCGTACCAATGACTCTGCAACAATCATACAAATGTAAACATCACAGATTGTGGTGAGTGCTAGTGTTGAGGTCTGCGGAAATGCATGATGATGCCCAACATGTCCAGTAGATTTAGGTAGAAGTCCCAGTTGGGACCCATGGAGTTGTCCAGGTGTCCTAGCCAGTCGTACCAATGACTCTGCAACAATCATACAAATGTAAACATCACAGATTGTGGTGAGTGCTAGTGTTGAGGTCTGCGGAAATGCATGATGATGCCCAACATGCCCAGTAGAGCAGTCAGTAGGTAGAAGTCCCAGTTGGGACCCAGGGAGTTGTCTAGGTCCAGGAGTCCTAGCCAGTCGTACCAATGACTCTGCAACAATCATACAAATGTAAACATCACAGATTGTGGTGAGTGCTAGTGTTGAGGTCTGCGGAAATGCATGATGATGCCCAACATGTCCAGTAGATTTAGGTAGAAGTCCCAGTTGGGACCCATGGAGTTGTCCAGGTGTCCTAGCCAGTCGTACCAATGACTCTGCAACAATCATACAAATGTAAACATCACAGATTGTGGTGAGTGCTAGTGTTGAGGTCTGCGGAAATACATGATGATGCCCAACATGCCCAGTAGAGCAGTCATAGGTAGAAGTCCCAGTTGGGACCCAGGGAGTTGTCCAGGAGTCCTAGCCAGTCTACAACAATCATACAAATGTAAACATCACAGATTGCTACGGGGCTACGGGCTCTACATCACAACAAGGCTTCCCACACGAGCTTCAGCTTGTCTGGATGTGACAGCTATGAACTTCAATACCTGGGACTATGATGTGAAGGTGACTGAATCGGCGGTGGCGGACCACGACTGTGCAGTAATCCTTAAGGTAAAGACAGACCAGGTAACATCCAATAGTGTTTCTGATAGCTACGTAGTACATAAGAGATCTGTAGATAAAGATAATTTGCCTTTGCTTAGAAACAAACTTTCAAACGTAAATTGGGACAGCTTTAAGTCAGTGTCAGATCCAATAGTGGATGTACCAATAAACCTCGCAGGAAATAACAAACTAACAACTTGGACTGAGGTGAGTGAAAACTATATCCTAGGGTTAGTGAAAGGTTTTAGGGACTCCGACAGTCAGGACATCAATGGTTTGTCATGCTCTATTTTAAAGGGCACAGTTGATTTGATTATCTTGCCACTGACAAAGCTTATAAACCTCTGTCTGACTAAGGGAATTTTTCCGGATAGCCTTAAGATTGCCAGGACTATTCCCATTTACAAGAAGGGTGATCCTTCTGACCCGGCAAATTACAGACCCATCTCTATCCTGCCAGTCTTTTCCAAGGTGCTGGAGACCATAATGAAGAGGCAATTGTCAGCATATTTTGAAGGCAACCAACTGTTTTCGAATGCTCAGCATGGTTTCAGGAGTGGGCGCTCAACATCTTCTGCTCTCTTGAATCTTGTAAGTGCCATTACAGATGCTTTCAAGGAAAACGAGTCGGTTCTTTTGAGGCTCTGCGACCTGAGCAAGGCCTTCGATGTAGTATCACACGACATACTGTTGGCCAAGCTTAAGAGGTATGGTATCGGAGGCACAGTTTTGAACACCCTAAGTAGCTACTTGGCAGACCGAAAGCAGCTTGTGTCTTTAAATGGTACTTCTTCTAGTGTGCAGATTATCCCGCACGGGGTGCCTCAAGGATCGGTGGTCGGACCCCTGTTGTTCAGCATAATGATCAACGATCTGGACCCAAATGGACAAACCTTATTGTTTGCTGACGACACCACCTTGTTCAATAGGGGGAAGAACATTGAACAATTGAGGGCAGAGGGAGACAACCTGCTGGAAATAGCTAAGGATTGGTTCATAACAAACCGCTTCAAAATTAATGAGGCGAAAACCCAATCCCTAATCTGCACTTTGCGATCGAGGATAGAGCAGGACGAGGCTGTAAAGCTATTAGGATTCTGGATTGACCCTAGGTTAGGCTGGAACATACACACAGACAAGGTTTGCGTCAAGTTGTCTAGAGTACTCTACCTTCTCAGGAAGCTTAGAGAGGTTATCACTAAAAACTACTTGATTACCATCTACCATTCCTTGTTCCATAGCCATATACTGTATGGAATAGTACTCTGGGGCCAATCTCCTTCTGCCCAGGATATACTGTTGCTGCAAAAGAAAGCCTTGAGAGTAATAACATCCTCCGGCCCAAGAGAACACTGCCGACCCCTTTTTAAAGAATTGGGTATCCTCACCGTTGCTAGCCAGTATGTCCTGAACAGCCTATTACTGCTAAAAGAGAACCTGACCAGCTTCAATAGCAGAAGTAGCCATCACAACCACGGAACACGCAGAGCTCATGACTTGGACATGCCTCGCTGCCGTCTAAGCCTAACACAAAAGAGCTACCCGCACTCTGCTATAAAGATTTTTAACACCCTGCCCGCAAGAGTCAGGAACTTAGAAATGAAAGCTTTTAAAGCCACAGTGAGCAATTCTCTCTTGCAAAGGCCCCTCTATAGTGTGCAAGAGTTGTTAGAGGAACCTCTCATGCCGGGTTGAAATTTCCGCCACAGCCTTAGTATTTAGTATTTAGTATTTATGTTGTAAATATATGTTTCTATTGTATAGTATTAAAAATTTGACGCTATCAATCCGTAACCACGGTCAAAGATAAAGAAGACAAGTATCAAGTATCAAGTAAGTAAGTAAGATTGTGGTGAGTGCTAGTGTTGAGGTCTGCGGAAATGCATGATGATGCCCAACATGCCCAGTAGAGCAGTCATAGGTAGAAGTCCCAGTTGGGACCCAGGGAGTTGTCCAGGAGTCCTAGCCAGTCTACAACAATCATACAAATGTAAACATCACAGATTGTGGTGAGTGCTAGTGTTGAGGTCTGCGGAAATGCATGATGATGCCCAACATGCCCAGTAGAGCAGTCAGTCGGTAGAAGTCCCAGTTGGGACCCATGGAGTTGTCCAGGTGTCCTAGCCAGTCGTACCAATGACTCTGCAACAATCATACAATGTAAACATCACAGATTATGATGAGTGCTAGTGCTGTCGCCGGAATTACCTCAAACAAGTATTTTGCGGAATAGGTTTTGTATATTCTTAGTTCTTACTCCTTTCCCAGTTGTCAGTCGACCTTGGAAAGTGGTTCGCGTAACTACTGGAAATAGCTTCCGTGTACGCCCTGTGTTTCCCGGAACCTAGTTCCTTGTGCACCCTTGTGTTTGACCTTATTTAGCGACATAATAAAATGGATGTAGAAGAAAGAATTGTGAGATTGTTGGTTAGTGTTGAAAGGGAGGGCAGGGAACAACATTTAGAGGAAAGACCTATTGGTTCGTTTGTTTGGGAACTTTTTTTTTCAAGAAAAAGAGCTTTGACAAAATGAGTAGCCCTTCTAACAAATGAATTTTTCATTAGACAATAGGTGTTTTATTTTAAAAAATATTGCTATTTTTTGTAAGAGCTTTGACAAAGTAAGTTGTCTTTATGAAGTGATCTTTTTTCATAATACCATAGGTGTTTTTTAATGTCATACACTGGTGTATCCTTGTATATAATACATGACGGTGATTTCTACGAAACACTACTCCGTTTATAATAGACAGATTTTTACAAACTATGTGTCAAAACGAAGTAATGTTTGTGTAGATTCCCCCTTTCACCAATTCCTGTAATAAAAGTCTTCGGGCTTTGCCCCACAGGCCATCAAAAACCCAAAGTATTTCTTATGGATAATGGATTTTGTTTACTTAAACGGACGGAATTTGTCTTATTTACAGCTTTTCATAGTAAACACATGATACACACAAGAGCGTTCGGTTTCAGTTTCGATAACTGGAGTGGAGTGATTGATTACATTATCTTTGAGTTGACTCTTTTAAGTCATTGGAAATTATAACTGTTATTCTTTTTGAAATAACGCCCGTAATACTTTGCAATTGCTCAAATTCGAGCAACAGGTGCACTAGTATTATAAAATGTAAGAGCTTGTCTAAGTGATAGTGTTAGATAGTGTTCAACATGGCTTTCGTTTCAACAAATCAGTTACTACTGCTGCTGTGGATTTTATTGAATCTATTATTGAATCAGTTGATAAAGGAGAAGTTTGTGTAGGAATTTTCATGGAATTTGTCAAAAGCATTTGACACTGTTCATCACCCTACACTCTTGCATAAGCTAAAGTCACTTGGTGTGCATAGAACTGCATTGAAGTGGTTTGAGTCATACCTGTCAGGAAGATTTCAATACATTGAATTAAGTCATACGGAGTATAATAAAGTTTCAAAAGAAAAGTCAAATTTAAAATTAGTAACACATGGTGTCCCCCAGGGATCTGTGTTAGGCCCACTCCTCTTTACCTGCTATGTAAAAAATATTGCACAAACACTCAAAAAAATACCACAAGACAACTTGGTGATGTATGCTGATGATTCAAATCTGAAAGTGTCAGCGCAAACCGCCGAAGATGTTGAAATCCTATCTTGCCTATAGTTGGCTAATTTAACAGACTTCTTTAACAATCATAAATTAAAATTAAATCCATCAAAAAGTAATTTTGTTTCCTTTAAGACTGCTCAGTGCAGGAGAAAGTTGTGAACCCACAATTGCAATTGACTCTAAGCTAATAGAAATTGAAAAGTCTACTAGATTTTTGGGGTTGGAAATAGATGAGAATTTGAACTGGAATCGTCATGTGGAAAAAATCCTTCCTAAAATTAACTCAGGAATATTAGCCTTACGCAGAATGTCATATTTATGCACTGATGTAAGTGTATTAAAAATGATATATCATGCACATTTTCATTCCCATATTTCATTTGGCTTGGCTTTATATGGGTCGACAAAAAAAGAAAACTTGAATGAAATTTTGAAGAAACAAAAGGAAGCTGTCAGAATAATTGAGGAGGTAGCTGCAATAAGGGCCTATGGATCCATAGGCCCTTTTTGCGGAGAACGTTTCTTTCAATTCTACACATGTTTGTTGGTATACCTGCAAAGTTTCATATTTGAATCTGAAGTAGTTTTTTTTGTACAGCTGTTATAAGAAAGTTGTGTATAGGCCCTTCTTGCATAGATCGAGGTTAATGACACTGAATGTTTGTTTTGTTCAGTTTTGGAGTGTGTTAGTGACCAAACAATAGGAATATTTAGTTTATTTTATTCTTTAACATCATGCTAACTACTAAATCTACTATTTTGGACACTTTTAAGAAGAAGGGTGCTAAGAAGAAAAGTGAAAATAAGGAAGAATGGGCTCGAAATACTAGAAAACGTCAGAGGTTATCTGGAGAAGGTTATGTTTCTTCCACAGGGGTTAATGTCCCAGGTAAAAAGTTTAGTTTAGTAGA